CTCTCTCATCGTGTGTGTGTGTGTGTGTGTGTATCCCCACAAGCAATGATATTTGGATACCAGGTTTTTTAGATATAAATAGGTTTATATAATGTTGAGAGAGTGAGGACCTGAGAAATAATTTTGATTCGTTGATTGATATGGAGAGGAAGAGGCACCAGCCCCTTCTTCTCAGCAAGCCATAAAGGGTCTCCTGAGGAGAAAGTCTAAAATCACCTTGACCTTGACCTTGAGAACTAGAAATGTCTAAGGCATACAGATTGTGGTATTTTCATGCAAACTTCATCCCTAACAGAGTATTGCAAAAGAACATTAGTGTCTTCTTTAAATAGGAGCCACATGTTTGTACACCCAGCGACTCTTCATGTGGAGTTTTTTATTGTTTCTAGTTAATTTCATATGGGAAGTCTTTGAATTTTGTGGTGGAAAACTGTGAATTTTTCCTGAAGCATTTAGGGTTTGATTTATTACTTCTATTTTAAAATATTCATTTATAAATTCACCCTGAAGACGATCTTTTCATGTTTGTCACAGAGGTGCTTTGAATTTTGTACTTGTGTGCAGAATGTGCCATCTGTTGAGGCTTGGAGCTTTGTCTCCACTCAGCAGATCTTCAACCATGGGGGGATGTGGTCAACGTGCTGGGACTCTAGGGACAGACAGCAAAATGGCATTCCTTGAGAAGTTTTACAGCGGCACATGTGAAGAATCAGGTAGTGTGTGTTCTGCAGTGTATGACAAAACTCTCAAGACTTTAATTTTAATCATTCACTGGATATTTCATAAAGCATACAGCAATTACATATTTTTCACTGTAGTGAGTTAGAACAGGCTTTGAAGGACAAGAACGCTGGAGTAGACATTACCTATTTGAAGAAAGAATTTGGAGGGTAGGAATACAGGTGTCTGCTTCACTGGTCGCATGGTGTCTTTTTACTAGAAATTTTAAAAGTCTGAAAATAGAGATGAAAACATCTACATTTATAAACCCTCACTAAAACATAGCCATTTGTTCAAATGAAGCAGTGGTGTCTGTTTCTGTTATCTTTTTTACCTGTCTTAACATTTGAATATTCCGCAGAAAATCAGTGTGTTTCCAGATGCTGTAAGTGTAGTTTTGTGAGTATTTTTACACTATTAATCATTATGTAGTCATCAAATACCTGGCTTGGGCAGTACCTGTACCACACACAGCTTACCAGCTCCTATATGGGTCATCATTCTGACTTCTGCTGACATCTAAGTCTTTACAGACAAAATAAAGAAGGGTAAATGGTTCTTGTTCTCTCAAAACTTTCTTCTTCTGCTGGTTCTGGGTGGCTTAGACAACCTATTGTCTGGGTGGAAGATTAGCTTTTGACTTAGTATAATAACTTTGTTATAACAGGGTTTTGTCTTCCTAAACTGTTTGAAATGAATAAGAGAAGGAATACAAACCACACAAAAATACTAAAAAGGGCTTGTTAAAGACTATGATAAAACTTCAGAGGATGCTAGAGATAGATTTGAGGTAGCTAGATTGTTTTATGCCAGTTATCATACTTGTCACTCTGACACATAAATGTATTCCGTTTATCTGGCTGGTTTATAGTATAAGACACATTCCTAGAACTCTCCTCTCCTCCAGAGTTTATTAAAGCAATCTATTTAACCCACAAAACACCAAATCCTTTTAACAGTACAATAAAAATAGGCAACTTTACCATGACTTAAGAACTTTTAGAGAATTTTCTTTCACAAGACATCCAATATCTGGATTCCTAGAAATACCAGAGACACTTTGCCACTCTGTGAAGATAGGAAAAATCATCACATAGCTAAATATTGAGATTTTGGTTCTTTATACATCTTTATCCTTATAAAGATTTTCAAATTTAATTTTTCTTGATGTGTATTTCCCTGGTATGAAGCTTCATTTGGTTCTAAGATTATTTGAATATTGTCAACAGGTCATTTCTGTTTTACTCATTGTCATTTGAAGAAACTATTCTAGGAACCAAACCTCAAAGGTGACACAAAATCCAATACACTGATACATCTCCAGATACATAGTTGTCCAATGAGTACATGGTGGCTAGATTGAAGGCCCTGTGGGATTGAGCATGTGAGCAATGGTGGAACATCATTTCTAGGTTTTAGTCTGTATTATGGAAGGACAAGGATAAAAGGAAGTAAAAAAATTGGAAAGAAAGAAAAAAGGAAAGAAAAGAGGTGGAAGAAGAAATGGAAGGGGTAAGAAGAGTCAGAAGAGAGAAAAGAAGGAAAAATGAAGGAAGGAGGGAGGGAATAAGGAAGGAGATAGAAAAAAAAGAAGTAAGGGGCCCCCAATATCATACAATTTCCCAACACTGGAAATGTACACTTTAAGATCTATGTGCTATGCTTATCATTTATATTCTTTTGAGATTAAAACCAACCTTTCCTTTTATGCTTGACAATCATCAACCATCACACACACACACACACACACACACACACACACACACACACACACAACAATGTGTGGGGATTTTTCTCTGGCATGGAGTCAAAGTGACAAACCCACTGTGTTAGAAATGACAATAAGACTCAGTGACTTGGTTTCTTTCCCTGATTAGCAGGCAGTACCCTTGGCAAGTCATTTCATTTGACTGAGTACTGTTTATCCATACATGTAAAGGGATTTCACCCTTTTTCTTTTTAAAGTACTCTCTGTAGTTCAAAGTATATCCATCTAAACCTACTTAAATTATCAGTCATGATAAAAAATATTTCCACTCCCCAAAACATCTGTCATATTATCTCCTTACTAAAAAAACACCAACTTTTCAACTTTGTCTCTGTGATGAAAGACAACTTTTATGAGAGCACTTTACAACCAAAAATAATGACACATTAGCAAAACTCTTGATTGCGGTATGGACACTGTTGCCAGGTTGTAAGTGGTACTTGAGTCTGTTTACTGAGATGTGCTAAGGTTTTAACACGGGAGAGGGGACTGGCTGGGAAAGGGAGGGGAAATAATTGACAAAGACACATCTGATCCTGGTCTTTTTCCTTCCCCACCTATACTCCCCTGTCTTTTTTTTTTTTTGCATATATCTATTCTTCCAGGACATCTCATTACATTTACTGGAATCCTGTTCCATTCAAAAGCTAGATACACTGAAACCTGAAAACCCATGGTGAGCCGTAAAATGTATGTTAGAGAATGTCAAGTTACATAGAAAAATATATATTAAGGATATACATCACAATATAATGTGTTTGTTTTATTTCTCTCCAGATACTTGTAAGTTAAACTCAAAAAGCAAAACATATGAAATCATAGCACAGTCCTACTTGTCATTTAAGTATTAGGAAGGTGACCTCAAGAATAGTGCTTTTATGGTTTATTGGAACATAAGGATATTTTATGGAATTACTTGTGAATCGAGATGTTTAATTAGAAGGAGAGCAGCCCGCAAGCAGCAGCCATTTACAATAAAAGTTGCTGGGGAAGAGTGACTTGAAAAAAGTACAGAGAGTTCTGTGGATTAGTGTGGACACATTTTCTCATGCAAAAATCCTTTTAGCCCATATGAAGCATAAACTGTTCTCTTATTATTTGTTTTACCAGAGTTCTCATTTATTTATGCCTTTCCTCTCATCGTCCTTTCCTATTTTCCTCCTTCATTCCTTTATCTTTATTCTTGTCTCGTCATTACGCAGAATAAGACCCAGGAATTATCATGTTACACCATACACAAACTTAACATATTTTTAAAATCTATTTTCATCATTTATTCTGGGGAAAAACAAGCTTGAAAATTTGTATTTGTCACATATATGTATACACACACACACACACACACATATATATATACACGAGTATATAAATATATTGTGCATGTGTGGATACAAGTATATACACATCTGTCAATCAAGCACATAACATAAATTATACACACAGCTTCAGTGGAATATCAAGAAAAGAATCCAGAAGCTCTTTGGGAAAGGCAAGAAATAGAATGACTTTAAAGCATGTCTGCAGGAGTCTGAAGGAGTGAAGAGTCCATATGCTATAATCACTGTACATTTTACTTTGGTTAAAACATTGCGGTCCCAGGGAGACCTTTGTTCTGTGTACGTGTGCTGTGCACGTTCTTTCCAAGTAGGCTAGTTTTGTTCTCATGCCATGGGAGCAGGTGGCATCAAGCTGTTTTGATGAGGTTAAAAGGCTCCTCCCCCCCTCTCCGAAAGCAGCAGCCTGAAGTACGTCAGCAGTAATTGTGTGCATGGCTCTGCTGTGCAGGGTGGGTGGAGGCAAAATTGATATCAAATAAGGGCATCAAACTGGGATCCGAGAGTTCCGTTTAAGTTGTTGCTCATTTTTATTAGCCCCACTGGGAAGAAAGCCTCATAACTTAAATATTCTCCATACAGGAACAATAATTCTGATGGATTTAAATTTTCCTTTTTAAAAGGATGGATTTAGAGCTAAGTAGTGGATATAAATGGAAAGGTTTCTTTATCCTCTTTTGATTTTGTTATTGACATATCAGACTTTAGCTCAGTTAGATAAAAGAGACACGTTCTGTTGCTTGGATGGGAGGCCTTTAACGAGGATGGGAGCCCCCGGGGAGCCGAAATTGGTGCAGCTTTCGGGTTCCTTGCTGTTTCTTCAGTCTTTCTGTCTCCCTTTGCAGAGGGCCTAGGGTGTGGGAACTATCCAAGGTGCTAGAATGCTGGCGGCGTTGCCCTTCAATGCAGGCGGATTGCAGAAGCAGAGGAGAGAGATTACTGCTTATTTCAGAAGGTAGGTTCTTTGTTCCAGAATCCCTGATTAATCAGCAGCAGCAGCAGCAGCAGCAACAGACTAAGGCAGCTGGAGAGAAGAGAGAAGCAGGAAGGGAGGGAGTCCGGGGACGGGAGGGGGGAGAGAGAGAAGGGGGAGAGAGAGAGAGAGAGAGAGAGAGAGAGAGAGAGAGAGAGAGAGAGAGAGAGAGAGAGAGAGAGACAGAGAGAGAGAGAGAGAGAGAGAGAGAGAGAGAGAGAGAGAGAGAGAACACATACACCAGAGCCAGAGCAAGCTGGTTGTCATGGGGGAGGGATGATGCTACAAGCTAGGCTTCTCCAAACCTTCTGTATGTATGCAACGGGAAAGAGCATCTTCTTTGGGGCTGGAAGGAGACATTTAGAGAGGATGTGTCTGATTTTTGTTTCCATTTATTTTTGTCTTTGCAGAACATGATCAAATGAGTTACCTTAGCCAGCTTGGTGACTGCTTCGGGTCTGATAATCATCTGTGTAGCAAAGTGGGTAAAATCATTCAATTTCTTCCCTGCTGGCCCTGGAAGGAGAGGGGCTGTGCGCTCATCCCCACCCATTAGCTATGCCCTCTTTTCTCCGAGTGTCGATTTAAGGAGGCAAGCAGCTGTCTTCTGCTACCGCATCTTCCTAGCAAACTTTAAAGGGCATTTTATCCAATAGAAAGAACATCGAAAATGCTCTGGTCTCTAGTGATGAAGAATCTTGGATTCGACACTTTTCCCATCCAGATATAATGCACTTTAACTGAAGAAAGCCGAACTGACCTACAAGTCTGTTTCTTATGGTGCTGGATCACTCCTACCGAACTGCCCCGAGACCAGCCTTGAGAGAGGGCTCTGACAGACCCAAGTCACCTCCTGACTATTGCACTTAGCTTTCCCTGGGGACTTAAATTTGGTATGTATCTCATTTTTTTTTCAGATTCTATAAGCATGCTAATTGAATCTAGAACTAAATAGAAGAAGCAATTGGTTATGAAATGGAATGGATTTTAGTTAGGGATACTTAATGCTGAAGTTTGCATGTTTTATTAGGTGGAGCAGAAGTAAAGATATAGCACTGACATCCACAGTGTTCGTGAGCCCCTGGCTATTTTTAATACCTCACCCACTTAGTGATTACCATGGAAATGTTAAATAGATCTTCATTAGTAAAATAAGCTGTGTTGAAATATAACAAGAATTTGAAGTATTTCCATGTCATTAATTGCTATTCAAGTTGTGCATGCTGCTATTTGTCTTAATTCCATACCATAAATATTTTACAACAGGCTCAGTTCATTGGTGTCATCAGTGAGAGCCTGATTTTGCATTTTCAGAAAGAGGATATATGCTTTACCACAGAATATCCAAATTGCTAGATGTACTTAGAGGCTGAAACTGCTTGTTTTCTGGATGACTCCAGATAGACGTTTTCCTGAAAATGTATTTTAATATCAGTCAATATTAGGAAGATTTTACTAGTCTTGCCAAAATGTACACCTTCTGAAGAACTTTAAGTAGACTGGTTTTACTTGGGACATGTACTTATTTCATTGGAGTATCTCCATTCTGATTTTCCAAACTACCCAGCAATACTTTCAATACTTGAAATGTAGGCATTGCACATCTGAGAAAACACTGCATTTAAAAAATTTCATCTGTCCTGAAAAATACTAAAGTTGTTTTGGTACTAAAGGAGTACATTTTAAAATTTTTATCAACAGTGAAAAATATAAGGGCATTTAATGGAAGAGGTTACGTGGTATAATTTTGATAATTTTAATAGCCACAAATGTATAATCAATTGTTATGGAATGATGAATAGAGAGCAAGCATAAAATTAATCTCCCAATTTTTCACGTTCTGGACACGGTCCAATTTATTTGATATATTGTTCAGTGTTAACTTAAAAATTAGTGAACAAACAAGAACCAGATATGTACAAATGTTTTGTTTTTGAAAGTAGAACATATTTGTCCAACTCAGTGAAGGAGGTACGTGTGTGAAAGGCAGTTAATATTTAGGAAGCTGTGAATACAGACCTGTGGAAAATGCTGCAACTTTACAGGGGACAAGCAGAGATGTAAAACTTGATTGGTTTGTAAAGTTGTGCACAAGTGTCAAACCTCAGGGAAAAGAATGGTGACTATTCTTGAAAATTGATCAGTCAGTCATAGACCATCAGCTCAATTAGATGGCTTCCATTGTAGCTCCAGTCAGCAATTCATTAAACTGACCCCGTATGCTTTGCAAATACTGCCTTGTAAGCGTCTGGAACCAATTGGCCCAAGGCTCCACAAAGTCCCTTAGCCATTGGCACTCTGCTTGAGCCTCTAATATTAGAGAGGATGTAGCCAATCTTTTAAGACCTTTGGTTAAAGACTTCGTGACAACCTGGAAGTTAGGGAGATGCCTGATACATGATGCTACTGCATTTGCATTATTTATACCCAATTTGAGGAGGGGGATCTTGGAGGAAAAAAAAATCCCTGCAAATGAATTTGCTTTCTGAGAACGAAGTAATCAGTGCCTTTGTAGTTACTTCTGCAGTCTGTCTTGATGGTAACTTCTCTCCCCGTTTTGTGCAGAACAGCTGCATTTTGAGATCACTGAGAATGAGAATATGAATGTGAGCATTTGTGGAGTAAGGGAGAGGATTCCAAGCACAAATCAAAATCTCTGACACTAGTATTTGACAGTCTGTAAGTCTCTGATTGTAGAAACAATTTTGACATGGTTTGCATGGTTTATGGGTTTTCACTGTGCTAGCTAGCCTTTATTTGGTTCTAGTCTATGAAGTTAGCAAATTTTAGACAAGAATTTGCATGTGCATGTAATATATGTATGTGAAGCCTGATTATTAAATACTTATATTTTTATATGAACCAAGTGGTGTGTGATTTTAGATTGATGTAAGTAGATTCAAATAATGGAAAATAGTTTTTTTATAATGCTGTACAATTTAACAACACAACACAATAAAACAAAACTAGTCAAAATCACCTGGGGAAACATTCTTTGGACACAACCCCTAGGATTCTCCATCTCAGGAAGGATGCAATGATGAGAATGAGATGGAGAATCAAATTTTAATAACTCAATTCCAAAACTTTATATAGCATTAAGGCAAATATCCGTTGGAAACCTCAAAAATATATAAAGAGCAGAAACTAGGATTCTGGAAACATAAGTATAAAGTAAGGGTCAAGAATCCAGCCTTCATCAAGGCATTTGTTCTCTTCTATGTCTTAGCTTGCTTCAGCAGATCCCAAATCACATCATGACAACAGCCTAAAATGAACCTTACCTTATTCTGGTCATAGAAACATCTTTCAGTATGCATTGTGGCCTACTATTTAGACGTTTTTATGAGACTTTAAATATGCGGAAACAATTCACTCCCACATTAGATTTGTTTTTCATTCTCGACCACTCAATATAGGTGGCAAAATAAAGACTAAAGAAGTTGACACCAATCTGTACCTTTGAAAAGTCGAATCTCATATAGAAAACAGATTAATTTTAGAAATGTGGGGTAAATTGTTTAGGAAGAACAACAACAGAAACCAGTGCCCAGGAGGCTAGTGGACTGGTTCACTCAGAGGATGTTGGTACCTATGAAACTCTTAGCTAGGTAAGTGGAACTATCAGGTTTATCACAGGGCAGTCTTATTGAGTGAGCGTTCATATCCATCAGGTCCACCCTGGCAGAACTAGAGTGGTGAATTAACAATGCAGGAGATTACACTAACTGAGGAATTAGTTTAGAATTTTAAACAAAGGGGAGAGAGATGAGAGATACCTAGACATAGATGAGAAAGAGCCAGGCAGCCTAAATATTCATTTGGCTCTTTCTGTGTGACTTATCTCACACATCAGCCTGTGTCTTTGAGGAACTGAATCTCACCATGAGTCGGTGCTATAATAAATACACTCTGTGAACTGACAATTCGCACAGTGGGTGCCTTCATTGGTGGAGGGAAAACACTACATAAGCACATGATCCTGGTTAAATTTGTATTATTTTTCAAAAACGCTCCCTGTTTTTAAATTTCTCTTTAACACTTAGCATTAATTAATTGAGAATGACTTAGCACTCAAGTTTCCTTGATTAAAGTATCAGCTATCAAAAGGAAAAAAAAGAAAGTGGGAATTTTATAATTTTGTTTCCATTAATTTTATTTGGACCTACATGATTTTGCTGTGTGTTTGGTGATGGAGAGTTTTATTTCTATGTGAACATTTGTGACAAATTAATATCACAATCAGCTTTTCACTCAGCACTGGTTAGGAATAGTGATGGTTGTATAAAATATACATGTAGAAAACTCAATTCAAAGTTAAATCCTTAGTTTATATTTATTTTCCATACTAAGAATTTAATTAGTGCATTTTAGTAAAGTCAATTCTCAAATTTTAGAAAGTGTCACAATATTGCACAATGAAATCTTTGTGAAGGGTGTGGTCAACAGGTTATAAGTAACAAAGTGAAAACGTAGGGTAAAATGAAAAGCTGAACAAAGTAGCCACTTTAATATTTAATCCAATATTTGTAGCTTTGGTAAAATCAGGCATGACTGTAGGCACAGTAATCTAAATATTAAATTAACAGAATCGCTAGAAAATACAAAGCATAGAAGTATCAGAAGTCATAAAATAAAGACCCAAATTTTACTGTGTATTGCATGGGATTCTGATTTTGTCATTTAACCTACTATTCTAGGAGAATTCCTGACATGATTTTCAGATTTAGCCACAAATTCCAATAAATACACACATAGCCCTGCACTGTTTGGATCAGTGCTGGGGCTTCCAAAGAAAGCATATCTACTCTTAGAGTGAAGATGCATTGCTCCAAGAGTATAGATAGACAACAAAAGTCTCTTGTTTATTTTAAACAAAAAAAAATAGTGCACAAAATTGTTGTGGCCATAGGAACGCAGAAATTCTCTTTCAATCTTATGCATTCTATTTTTTCTATATATAATTGGAAGTCAAGTAAGGGAGGTGGTTGCTTATTGAGAAAACTCTAAAGATGCTACAGAGCACACAAGAACCCAGTTGTATTTTAACAGTATTTCCTCAGAAACCAACTGTGGAATTCTGTGTCTATTGTTTAAATAGAATTTCTATTTAAGAGGCAGGAACTACATCCAAGTCTTATATGGGCTAGAAGGAACATATCTAACTCAGCATTTATCTTACATAAGTGCATTCTAAAAACACATTTGTGATTTTCTTGCTCATTACAGCAAATGGTAACAATTATAACAAGGTAGATGATTAACACATTTCAATTTTATTTTGAATGTGTTTACTATAAGAGAATGGTGATGCATTCATCTGAAACATATCTTATCTTTCATCTTGGAAGGGCAAAGTTGGAAGGTTTAAGATGGAATGAGCATTGCAGTCCGTAGATCCTGGTGCCATTGTTTTCTAGATTTAGACAGTGGGAAGTGGCATGCTAAGGGTCTTGATAAATTGTTTTATTTATGAAGAAATATGTTGTCTCCTAACTTTGCCATAATATGAACATCTGCGAGGAAGGAAGTGATACTGTCTTAAATATTTTATCCATGTGTTTCAAAAAATAGTTTATCTAGGAGCCATGTTGGTAAATATACGAATTTCCAGAGTCGTCGATTGGTAGAACCTGCATGATGGTTCAGAGGTAGAGGCTCTTGGGTGTGGCTTTATGACATGAGTTGCAACATCAGGTCCTACAGGTGGTAGGAGAGAATTGACTACTGAGAGTTGATTTTTGACCTCTAAATTAATACTGTGGAAAACATGCCTGAATACAAACACACATACCTACCTACCTACCTACATAGACACACACACACACACAAATAGACATATATCTATATGCGTATACATACAATAAAATGAATTAATAATAATTGTTAAAACAAATATATTTTGAACACCAGTAGGGGTGGGTGACAGATGGCTTATCTGATAAAGGCTCTTGCAACCAAGCCTGACAGCCTGAGTTAGATCCCCAAGACCCCCACATGATAGGGCAGAAAAGCCAATCGCTTCAAACTGTCCTCTGATCTTTACATAGAAGTTATGGCGACATACTCTCCTCCATTAAAAATATCCACAGCTAAATGTAATAAAATGTTAGATTTAAAAGGAGTTTGTGAAAGGCTTTCATAGCAATATCGCTACAGGGCTCACTGAACACACACATTTTAAACCAAATCCTTATGACATAGTCCATTCCAACTGCCATGTTTTTTTTAATGTAAAGAGAAATTTAAAGATATTGGTTAATGCAAAACCCTAGACATAGAAATAATGTATTTGAGACTTAGAGCACTTGGAAAAACTTGCAACTCTGCAAGGACTTTTGCAGAGTCCCTGTACATTACAAACTAATTTCCATGGAAGCCAACAAACATTAATCATTGACAGGCTACTAATCTTATTTTAAAGACCATGTGTCAATGTTGAGATGCTATACCTGTTTATTCTCAAAAATGGTGGCAATAAGATTTCATGACCAGGTAATGATGTAAACAGTATGAAAGTCATATGAAATGAAATTATTATTCTAGTCTTCTTCTGCCATGTGACATCTAGATGATTATACTTTGGCATTCCTCAGTGCCTTGTTTGTAGCAAGTGCCCAAGAGATTCTAAAATAGATGGGTGATCATATGACCAACTACCTTCCTGCAGGTGGGTATAGGCACATACATAAACATGTAACCCATTTTCATAATATAGAGTTTGACTTGATGATACAGTTGATTTTCATCTAAAAATTATCCATGTGAATTAAAAAATACTTTTTCCATCTATAAATATTTTGCAATAATATTTCACATTTTCTCAGAAAAACAGCAATTTAAACCCCATGTAACTTGAAATGCCATTGGTAGTGATAATTAATTATCAAAAGCAGTCAACTATTTTGTTAAAAAGTATAATATGTAAATTGTATAAGAATTACTAGGGTTGGTGGAAAACCTCGACAAAATAAATAAAATATAGCCCTTTGGGAAGTATGCTTCTTGCATCTGGGAAAAGTACAGTTTTGCTGGAGGGCAGAGAGGAAGGAATCATTCTAGCCTGAGGTGTTACCTCTAGCACGCTTATAACATGAGTCAACCTGCTTGACTTAGGCAAGATTAATTGTCACAAAGTTAGATGGTCTTTTTTTAGCCCACAGTCCTTACTGCAGATGTTCTTGATGTAGGTGAATTCCTAATAACTTTAATGCTTTAGATAGCTGTAAGATACATTCCTGAGTCCTTCCTACCAACATGGAACTTTCTTCTTTTCTAAGTGCCCAGGTGCCTGCCACTTAAGCATGTGTTCTTAATACATATAATTCAATATACTATAAAGTTAGAATTAAAAGACTATTCAGTTCTACACCATTGGAGCTAAGATATTAAGCAAAATATAAGAAAATTTTAGGGGCTGGAGAGATGGCTCAGTGGTTAAGAGCACTGGCTGCTCTTCCAGAGGTCCTGAGTTCAATTCCCAGCAACCACATGGTGGCTCACAACCATCTGTAATGAGATCTGACGCCCTCCTATGGCGTGAGGGCATACACGGGGGCAGAATGGTGTATACATAATAAATAAATCTTAAAAAGAAAAAAAGAAAATTTTAATACAAAGCCAACAAACAACTTCCAGATTCTAAAATATCAAACAGTGAGAAAGATATATTTAAGTTCAACATGAGATTCAAAGTTGGGTTAACTGATAGCTAAAAGGCTAATAAATTTTGATATGAATTAAGATTTTCCTAACTACAACCCAAGTTATGAAATATAATTTTAATTTTAGAATAGCTTTGATGTATACTATATAAAGAAACTTCTTGACGTTTTCAGTAAATGGATTGGTTGATCAACATTTCTCTGATTTTTAAGGGAAGCAAAAAGCTGTAAAATACTTTATAAATTTTTGTGTATTTGGAGAAAGGGTCTCTAAATATGACAGACATGTGCCACACTTCACTCACTTGTATCACTTTTCTACACTACAGCGAACAGGAAATTCAAGAAGCCTTATTGATATAGAAGATTAATTTTTTGTTTTTATGTAATTTTGTTCTTTATTGTTGTTAAGGCAGTTTGCCTACCTTGTCTTGAATACTTGGAAATACACAGTGATTCCTAAAACTTGCCTGTCTGACCATCCATCCACCTACTCGTCCATCGTGCATCCATCCATCAACTCACACATTCACTTCACATAGGTATTGTTGCCATACATCTGCACGTTATGATGATATTAGAGTGCTTTATTGTGCAAACTACTGTTGAGTTCTATTCTAAACTCTTCACAGCCATCTCTTCTAGAAATCACAGCAGGTAGTGCGAGTTTTGTCATTCTCTTATAGCTGAGAGCTAAATACACCAGTTCAAAATTCCATGTTTTAAACTATGGCTTGATTTGGGTTTGATTTGTCAAGCTATTGCACCTGTAACTTAAGTTGTTTAAAGTTTGTAGACTTTCAATTAGCAGTACTTTAATAATATCAAAGCAAATATTTTCAAACTGCTGAGGATATGTGTAGGCTTGACAATGCACAATATATATCCCAGAAAATTATGATATGAAGCGATTATAGAGAGCCACTTTGAAAATAACACAGAGTCACAAAAGTATACCAATTAGATGGCCAATATGTCTCTTTCCTAGATTGCTATTATCTTTTGTATGGCCAATGTAGATGTATACATTTTCACTTACATGTTTAAGAAAAATGTAATTCATTCTTTCCAACATAACATAATTTTAATTTAAATATGCATGGAAATGTCATTATGATAATGAAAATACAAAACTTGGATCTATGGTATTATAGCAACTTATTTTGAGAAATAAAATTATGACTGTAATGATGCAAACCAGGTATTTACCTTCAGACGCAATGTTTATACATTATCAGGTGGCAGGGCAGAACTGTGGTCCTTTGTCCTGATGATGCTGATGGGTAGGTGGAACATCTGACACTCAAGTAACACATGTTTCATGTTATTTCAAATACTCGGGGAATGTGTAATTTATAATGAGGCATTTTCTCAATTAGTAAACATGAAATGTATAAATCTGAATTATTTATAGAAAATTCAGCTTCATTTAAGGGAACACCGTGGTCTAATAGAAAATGAATGGAACATAATCCTTTTTAAAGCTATGATTTTTCTTAATGGTATTCTATAACAACTTTATACTCTAACTCACCATAGCTTAAGTACATTGGAAATACATCAATTTATTTACAGTGTGGGAGTCCACATAGATGAGCACACGTGTGCTATGGTGCATATGTAGAGATCAGGCTCAACTAACAAGCCAATTATGCTCCTCTACTATAGGGGTTCTGGAGCTGGAGCTTGGGTCCATAGCCCTGCCAGCCAGCACCTTTACTCATGGAGACATCTCAGTAATCACTAACTTAAGAGTCATAACTCACCAGAGCTGCATATATCCTGCGGTGTCTGATAACTCACTTGAGATTTGGGACAATAAAATCTTAGGAACGAACCTTCACACCCTTGCTAAGGGTATGATATGTTGTCCACCTTCAGGAAGTATCCCGTTTCCATGATACCCTCCAAGATGATGTGTGCTAATCCTGAAGAAGACCCCTTGGACACTTTTCTCCAGTATATTGAGGATATGGGGATGAAAGCATATGATGGTCTGGTTATTCAAAATGCATCCGACATTGCCCGCGAGAACGATCGCTTGAGGAATGAAACAAATCTGGCTTACCTGAAAGAGAAGAATGAGAAACGGCGAAGACAGGAAGAAACAATCAAACGGTAAGTATAGACCACTGCATTGCATGAGGGAGTTTACAATTCCTATTAAGATTGTGTTAGTGACACCTGGCCCAGAAAGAGCTGGTCAGAGTCTTGGCAGGGAACATAGTAAAAAGGATCCCTGGATGCTACCAAAGGCTCTTCTCTCCTGCTGGCAGATCCTGACCTTAGTTAACAACAGTTACTTGCTTGCATTTTGTGCATATGGAGGTACAGATGCGCTGGGGAGAGAATTCAATTTTCTCTCTATAAAAGCTTGTGTTGAACAACTTCTTGGTAAAAACACCAGGGAGCTCAGACAAGTTTTTAACAGCCAAAGTTTTATGAGAATGGCCACCTTTAATGGCCAATGTTTATAGTTCTTACCTTAAAATAGAGTTCATCTTCTTCCTAGACTATGACCAAGACCAGTGACTAATTAGGCATGTATGTGCCTCTGAAGTACTTGGAATCCTTGGTGTATACTCCTGAGCAAATTTTATGGAGATTACTTCTCTTGATTTGATACCAAGGATTCCAAGTTTGATCAGACGAAATTGCTTTCATGGTGTAGCACCTAGAGTGCCAAACTAATGAGCCATAGACTGCAGCCCTGTAAATAGAGGTTAAGCTCCTAGTGTGTGCACACAAAGGGCACACACCTTGTGCTTTTTACAGAAAAATAATTCAGGTTGTTTTCTGATGTGCTACTCTGTCCAGCTTTGTGGAATTCTGTTTTATTATTGTGGTTCATTTTTTAAGTAGAAAAATTCAAAATGTAGAAACTGTTCCTTTCAGTTATCTGCATGGCGGACAAGTGATGGGATACTGGGATAGTTCGTAAAGGATTTTCACCTAATATGTTAGTCACATATTCTTTGGGAAGATTAAGATATTAAGGAAATAAAATTTTTTAAAATTTTTTTTCAAGTTCAATTATTGGGTTGTAAAGTGACAAAGTAACGTTGCACAAAACTAATAATTTAAAAAAATATTTTACATGTAAAAGAAAGATGAATGGAGGGAAGAGGAGGGATGGGGTGAAAGAGTAAGGAAGGAGAGATAAAACTAGAAAGAGATGTTTTAGAAAAATATACTATTTTACTTCTGAATTATTAAAATTTTACCCAGTTTAACTTAAAATTGATTCCTTACTGTAGTAAGCTAGGTATCTTTTAATTAAGGTATATTTTTTCTTATGTAACATTTCTGACAGACTTCTACTTATGTATGAGTGTCTTACTTTAATTTTGAATGTTGAGTTTTTAAAAATTCAAAGCAAAGAGGATCGGTTACATGTTTTTTAGAGCGTAATAGTACTGCAATTTAAAGTTTTTCTACCTTGCATTTGCAAATTGACAAATTAATTGCTTCTTCTAAGTGATGACTAGACTTATTTATGGAAACATCTGTTGGCTGTTTCTAGCATCAGAGCGCACACATTCGTTCCACTGGCTTCCAGGTTTTATTATAAACCTTTAATAGGATTCTGCATAAATAACTAAACACAGTGACAACAGTAGTGGCTAAGTCTCCAGTGCTTTACAGACATGTGTTTAAAGAGGCATGAACAATGGGGTAGAAATTTGACGTCTAAGGCACTTGGGAGCAATATCCAGATAAGTAGCGAGACATCAGAACCATGCCAATCAATGATGAGGAATGTGACAGAGACTTGAACTTGTGCTCACTTTCTTGGATTAATCAAACTGCTTTTGACTATGGTGTAACAAATCACAGAATGTAGCTAGGATCACTTACTGGAAAAAACAAAAACCCAAAAATGGTTTTCATTGACTTCTACCTTGCACATTGGTAAGCACATTAAGACATTGGATAGCATAACTTGAGAATCGAATTAGCACCGAGTGTACATTGATTCTCCTGTTCTCTTGTAACTTATTAGAACTGATGGGAGTTGTTACTAAGATGGTTGTGGTAAAACTGGGTAAAGTAGGTACATTTTGGAAACCGTATGAACTTTTGGATTGATGAGACTTAGACATTGAGTATGGAGAATGAAAGGCAAGGAGCTTCTGTGTGGCCTTCTGTTGTTCCCTCTGTGTGCTGCTATTGCTTGAACTAGCAGGGTGGCATTTCTATTTAATGAAATGGCAAAGACTGAAAGTGAAGCAAATTTAAGGCAAATAACAGGGAATGGGAGCCAGTTTTGATATGCAAATGTTGAAAGGCTTTGAGCTGCTCAGGTGGAGATTCTGGATGGAAATTTGGATAAAAGACCCAGGACTTTGGGTAGAGTTCTATGTGGTAAGAGGGAGAAACATCTTAGTCTCTCAAGGGCTTTTAAAGCATGCACTTACAGGACAACAAAGACAGGTAGGACTTAAAATTTAAAATGATCAAAAACCCAGGACAATTTCCCAGGGCATGTCAAACCTCACAAGATAAAGACAGTGGAAGAACCCAATAAGTATAGTCAGGGAGCCCCAAAGGAAGACTGAACAATGTCAGAACCACAGCATTGGAGAGCCAGCAGGGAAAGAAACAGAGAAACAGATTCACTGACACACCCTTCTTCTGCCAGAAGCTTCATTGTAGCTACAAGTGTAGGGCAGAACCAGAAGCTTGGGACAGCTCTCAGTATAACACACTATTGCAGGGAAAAGACCAAGGCCTGGCCCACTCTGTATCTAAAAGGGGAAGTCACAAAAGACTTACAGAAGTAAGTCATCTGAGAGTCCCTCATACCCAGAAGAGAGTCACTGGTAATGTAAAAATGACCAAGCTGGCATTGTAGTAAGAACAATGGGACATCCTCTAGCCTTAGGTAAAGATGATCATTTTCAAAATAACATTTAACTCTTGTCCCATAATGATTGAATGTTTTAGGAATTAAAATAAATGGTTTATGCCTTGCTATCTATAACTCAGTTCTTCTTTATTCAACCCTACCCCAAATCTTTTTTTCTGGGATTCTAATTTAATGTGTAAATATCTTGGAAGTATAAGGATCCTATGAGAGCCCAAAATTGTTGAAACTTCTCCAAATCACTTTTCTTTTCCAAAAGCAAAACCCATGTGAAGCAAAATGGCTTAGATGCCTTTGAATGTGACTGGGGAGGTGCTTAGAGAGGTGAAAAAACTATGAACAAAGCCAGACCAGCAATGCCTCCATTTGAGGAGGAGTCCAGAAGCCTTTTTCACTGCCTTGGGAGAGGACTGGCTGAGACGTCTCCTCGAACAGTACAGTCTATGTACCATTTTCATGTCTGGATTCAGTTTAATTTTGCTCATGTAAGAAACAGTATCCCAGAGGTTTGGCGTTTTCAAATGATGATAATCTCTCCTTGTTGTGTTCTTTTTCTTTTTTTTTCTTTTCTTTTTATCATATCTCTTCAATATTCCCAATGAGAAATGTCTGTTTTTTAGAAAGTCCATCAACTGGTTTCTGTTCAAACATACTTTTGTGGGATCCTGGAACCCCTGAAAACACAGAACACCCACATTCAAATGGATCGTATATTTAAGGTTTTTTTTACCTTTCAATTAATATCAAATAGAAAAAAATCAGTAAGTTATTAAAAACACCATCTAATTAATTAAAATTACCTCATCTGTCTGTTGAAGGCCTTCAAAATATATTCTGTGATTTAATACATGGGCCATAAATGCCAGAAATTCTAAAAGGCAGCACATTTGACCTTGAAAAGGCATTGATGGTAATTCTCTGTGAAATGCGCCAGTTGCAATTTCAAAAATGTGCAGACTGCCAAGGCATGCTTAAAACATGGAAATAGGATTTCATGTGCTTGGCTTTCTGGACCACATACTGCTGAAATGCCTTTTGTGTTCAAGCTGGGAAGCTTTAACACAGAGCCCTTAGACAAACAATATCCCCCCTCGCTTTTTCTATGATCTAAGTCACCGAGGTTTTTCTAAACCCAGTTCCTTATTTTTAAACTAACTTGAGCCCTTGTCACTATTAAATTCCTTGCATCTTCCCTTCTCTCTGTCATACGGGCTTTACTGAAAAGACTTGCTGGTAAAAGCGAAATACTAAATAAAGAGAAAAATGACAGTCTTAGTGCTTCTCCTAACAGTTTAAAGTGGCGTTTGGTAAGAAAAAGAGAAACACATAGAGGAGAAAATTAACAGATAATGAAAACAATCATTTCAGTGACTCATTGTCTCTGCTGTCTTAAATTCCAGGGGTTTTGTACTGGCATGAGTAAATGTGACTTATTTTTATCAAGTAGCCCACATGAAAAACACGCATGCAAAATTACCCTTCAACAAGATATTTCATTTAAGATGGTTTGGAATGCACTAGTCATTCATAGATATGGAGAAAGGTGAGAAACCACCTTTGGTGGTTAGCATGTTCGATTGTGGCCAATAAGAAGGAAGGAAGTGATGAATGACAGGTGACCTGTAGGGCAGTATCTGCAAGCACCTCTGAGAGCAGGCTTTCTTGGAGGTCCTCTCTTTATAGGTAACCCCTTGTTAGGTCATCAGATGAGGACAGTCACTGAAGAAGATGAACAATCTGAAGGCCATCTTCTCTACCGCAGGTACAACTGCTTTCTGGGATTCCTTTAGAGCAAAATTCACTTTGAATTCTGGAATTGGTCCTCACATTTGGTTATCCTGAAAACAATGTAAGACATATTGCTAAGTCAAAAGCAACAAGAAAATAAATACTCACATCTTTTCAAGTATAGTCTTCTCTGTAGGAAGCAGTTGGTTGCTTTTCTCCTAATGAAAGAAATGCTGCATTAGTGAAATTTCTCCAAACATTGTGAGTCTAGGAGACAGCTCTTGACTTCAGCAAAGTGCTTCTGACACAAAGGACTACTTAGGCTGATTACCAGTGTCTCTATTCCCCACGGATGCCCTCAGGAGATCTATATGAGGCTATATTTCCTCTTTAAAAGTGACAGTCTGAAATAGAATTAGATTACATATGGCTCCTTTTAAAAAGGCATGCAGTTGTGTATTTGTGTATGCACTTGAAAACTGTGTAGAGTGCAGAGTTTCAGATTTCCCATTATGCATTGGGA